GGTGTGCGCACCCCTTGATACGCCACTGTTGCATAACCATATTATCAGTTTCCAATGAAACAGCAATTAAAGCTCTGTCAGGATGTTCCTATACTGTATATGGTCATGATGTGATGAAAAAAATTTTAGGTGAATCATATTTTCTGCCTTGAATTTAAGTGTTTGTTATTAATATAGTTTTGTAACAGCATTATTAATTATATGTCATTTAATATACCTTTTTCTGTTAAAGAAGATAGCTGTAGGAAACCCCCCAATTCCACACCACGACCTTGCTGCTCTGATGACATAGAGCCAAACCAAACTTGAACAAGTGCTGTATGACAATTTGAGTTTAATTTGTTCAATTTCTGTTTGAAAATTTAATTTTTTTTTTCCTATAAATCGTTGACTATGTTTAATTTTGTTCTTCTAGTACATCTACACTCAGTATGTAAATACAAATTTAAGATGGAAGTCGGTAGCGTTCAAGCTCTGGTAAATCTTGATCATGTGTGGAGTACATCTTCTGTAGACATTCAAAATACTTTTGTACCAATGACTTTCACATTTGAGGATGGAGTTCAGAGTGAAGTAGAGATCGCAACAGAGCGGCCCACACATGAATTAATGAATCAAGCTAGAAGCTCTGTACTTGTAAGTAAACATCCACTGTTAAATAATCTGTTTTTGGACAAAGATGCATCAAAATCAGCCACACACAAGATACCGAGTGGTAACTCATCGGTTAAAGAAGGTCTTGAGAAAGAAGCAAGCACCCAACCAAATGATACGATAGAAGAATCTGCGGTTAAGCTTAAGCATGTTGACAACGAGATAAAAAAATCGAAGCTCAAGCAAAGCAACAAGATTGATGAAGAGGAAAAAGGCAAAAGCAAAACAGACACCAGCAGTGAGGAAACAGATGACAGCCATCTGATTAAATGTATGTTGTGCCAAGCTTCATTCAAGGATGTTATTTCTCTAGAAACGCACATTTCAAACAACCACAAAGTATCTTATTACTATTGTTCACACTGCCGATGTACATTCCAAGATGTTAAGTCATTGCTTGATCACTCCCCAAACCATGTTCTTGAACAAATGCTTCGCTTCATCAAGTCTCATAGAGTTGGATGCAGTATATGCTGGCAAGGTTCTCCTGACTTCAAGGCTTTGACAGATCATGTGATGAAGATGCATAACTTAAAGGTCTACTGTTGTTCATCATGCCAATTCTTATGCTTAGATCTTAAGGACCTTGCTCAACATGAACAGTCACACTGCATGGGCATCTCAAAAGAAACCTCCAAATTTAGTTCTCTAGCTACAGTCTGTAATTGCAAAGTTTGTGGTCTGGAACTAGAGACCAGAGAGGATGTGACACAACACATGAAAATGCATAAAGCTGGAAACATGTATGTGTGCGAGTTTTGTGGGGAATGTTTTTGTACTCGACAGAAGGTGATCCAACATCGACGAGTGCATACTGGAGATAAACCTTTCCGTTGCCAACTTTGCCATTTTTCTTGTAACCGCAAGGATAATCTGAAAGGGCACTTGAGGAGAATTCATTCTCATGCTGACAGACCGCTTTCCAAGAAACCTAAAAGGGACACAGAATTTGGAAGTGTTATCAAAAAAGAAAATAAACCAGACAAAATTTCAAATGATCATATAGAGATATCTAAAGTTGTCTTGGGAATTCGTTCAGATAAGTTGTCTTCAAATGATTGCCAAAACCAGGAGGAAGATCAGAAACTCAAAGATCATTCTTATTTTCGTTCCGATGGCTCTTTGAAAGATGTAGAACCATCAGTTGAGCCAACCAATCAAAAAACTGTTGTTGTAGAGCCAGATGCTCACAACAGTGCCATAAAAGCCTCTGTGAAAGTCAGTGACTGTACTCTAATTTCTGGCAGTGACATAGAAAAGGCAGCAGTTGATTTGGGTAAGCTTCCTTCCCCCATGCTTCTTACTGCACCTGAATATGATGATCTTGGCCAGTGCTCAGAGGCATCATCCATTGATATTGATGAACCTTCAAAAAAAAGACCAAGAATCTCACCTAAGATAAACACAGTTGGCAGTGAAATTAGTCCAGCACTCTTCCTTAGGGGACCTCCAGAAAAACTCCTCAATGGCAACAATGTTTCATACCATTCTGGGTTGCCATCAGTAGGTTGTTCTGATACAGCCAGAAGAGATGGAAGCATGTTAATGATATCACCTGATAAGATTTTCGAATCAAGCCCAAGTCACCAATCTTGTAGCAGTAATCTAATTAGCTCCAGCTTTTCTGAGTCATGCTCCAACCTGCCAACAGTAAATACTTTCTTAGGCGAAAGTATTGCCAGTGTGATTGATGATGTTGGTAGTGATTACTCAGAGTATTTTGCAGAATTTTCTGATCAGGGAGATTTCTTACAGTCACTAGGTCTTGTTAAAGAGGGTGCAATCCCAGAAGTCCCAGATGCAAAAGCATCTCCACCTCGGGAAAGGAATATTTATTTGGAATTTGTGAAAAGTCTTGAAGCAGAGGGAAAGAAAGATATCAAAAAGCCAATCAAACTAAAAGGATTTTCACATTATGAATCAACTTGTTATAAATGTAAAGAGGAATTTGATTCCAAGCAGGAATTGAAAGGACATTTACATGGATACAAAGAGAATGGTAAATTTCCTTGTGACATCTGTAACTATCCTTTGAAAGAGTTACGCAAGTTAATGGAGCATAGACGCAGTCACACTGGTGAAAAACCTTACAAATGCAATCAGTGTGACTTTAAATGTTCCAGAAGAGATAATCTTGCTGTCCATATGAAGAAGCACTCCAGATGATGGGCAATGCACCCATTCCGTTATGATATATTCATACGTCCGCTATTTAGTGTTCATGTGGTCATTACAGAATTTTTACTTTGTAATCCAAATTTATTTAATCAGAAAATTGTTTCTGTTACCAAGTACTTCTTTTTTTTTTAGGTGGTAATTTTGTTAATATTGAATCTTGATTTGTCAAATTGTTACAGACTGTCAGTTTTAAGCTCTGTCCAGATTATGATCACATTTTTGTTGACAAAAAACATATATAGTCAAGATGTGCCTATATATGGCCATGATGTGGTATCATCATGACTATATTTAGGCATGTTATATGTTTTTTTTTCAAATAAAATGTGATAGTCTGTACGGGGCTTTCGAGAATCGGGACGGGAGGCTTGAGTGTGGATTGTACAGTATATAGTATTAAGATATGCACGAAATGATAAATGCATATTTATTATAAGTCAGTGGTGATGTCATCATTTTTATTTGCACTGAATTTTCCTATTCCCGACTGATTACTATATCGATATAGTGCGTCAAATTTTTTGCATTTCATACTAAAAGCTGGGGTGATTTTACTAACAATACATCGCGATAAAATATTCTTTTGCTAGGCCAAGCTATGAATGCTCGCCAAGCTTGCTCTACGGCACCTGTTAACACGAATGAAGCCTAGACCGTTCTAGGCCTGGCCTAGAAAACAAGGTGATTGACTAATTAAAGAACTGAAAAAATATGGCAATGCTAAAATAATTCATAATAATGTTTACAATATATTTTAGTCTATTAACAAATGTCTGTTAGGATGTTAGGCCTACCTAATAAACTTCATTTAAACCACAATCGATTTATTCATCTCCATATCGCCAAGAGTATCGCAAAGTGCTGTGTAAATAGTGTCAGTGCGCATACTAAGAAATTCTAATACGCGTAGCTATTGCACGTGCACAATGATCACTGAGCAACCTGCACTTATGATGTAGGGCCTTAGAAACCCCTCTACAACCAGCATTTTGATTATAAACAAGGTGATGGACATCACAGCTGACTTATAAAGCAATTATAGTCAAGTAATTTCATATGCTATAGGAAATAGAAGCCTTTAGGAACCATTATTGCCTTCAGCCCTATAAGCTTCAGGCAATTTTTTTTAGTAAACAATGGCTCCTTTGGTTTCTATTTCCTATAGTGTACTCAAAACCTACCTATAATTACTTATTAAGACATAAAACGTGGAAATACAGCCACTTTACTGTATTTCTGTGTCATAGTTGACAATTACTGTAATATCTGTATATTTTCCTACATAACATGTGTTACATTGTGGGCCTACAGTTGAAATTTTGTCTCTATAATTTCTCTTACTCAAAAGGAATTCAGTTAGTTGAATTATAACTTCAGCATGCATTCTATTATCAGAAAATCATGTCTATTTGATGTGACATGATCCATTTTAAATTATTGTGTTCCTCAGGAATTGTAAGAATGTGTTTTTTTTTTTAGTAGATATTGATTGTTTATTTCAACAAAGTTTTGAAGTATAAAGTTTCCGGAAACATTGATTATTTAAAATTTATTATTATTAAGATATGCGGCCCTTACAGAGCAGTATGCACTGCTAGTAATGGCAGGGCATCCCATAATTAACATTATACATTATATTGCGCAATTGCTAGTGTATGTTAAACTCTGTACAACTGAATTAGTAGCAAATGTGGAATGAAATGTCTTTGTATATGTTGTTGTATGTGTGTTTGTATTCATTAGAACCTGGAGGCTATGTGTGACGTTAGCATGTGCGCTTCCTATAGGAAAAATACTCATTTTCATTCTTCCCATCTTTAATATATTATGTTTATTTATATCATATTTTAAAATTATTTACTATTGTATTTATTTATTTTTTTTATATTATTTTGATATAATTAATATTAGTATTCCATTCTCAGTGTCTATATTTATTATAATATTTTGTAATTACAGTCCTTGCTGTTTACTAAGTCTGTTGTTTATTTATTTATTTATTTATTAATAGACGAGTCTTCCTTAACGCTCCTCAATAAATATTAAGTAGTACTCATTCTGGGCTTCAGAAAGGTTTTATATTTAGGAATGTGTTTGATGAAATTATAATGTGTGCTTATAATTAAGGTGCATTTTATATAAACCATCTAATAATTATGTAGAGCAATTATCGACTGTTAAATGAGGACATAGCACTGCAGTAAGTGGTCCTCCTGGTTCCACACCTTAATTTAGCTAACTGCGTAAACTCATAAAAAATTAAATCAGTATGTTGTTAATTTTTTTTTTCTTGCACTGCAAATATTGCCCTGGTCAGTTCCAGATAAGGAGTTACTTTTTATTTTTTTTATTTATAACCCATAAAATGCTTGCACTTAGTGCTCAAATGGTGGGTGAACCATCCCTCAGCCCATCAAGATGCAATGATTTCTTTATTATTTATCATATATCATATCATTGTTGTCAGTCAATTTGTATAAATTTAGTGACTTTAAAATCCAATATTTTGTAATTTAATGTAAATATATCTACAATCTTCACCTAAGGTGTGACCTGTATTATGGTCAATGTAATTCGTGTTTGCTTAATTTTAATATGTGTGCCATATGTGTGCCATATGTGTGCCATTTTCATATTTAACAATGGAGTTCCATCCAGCAAAGCCTATTATTTAGACCTTCCTAATGCTCTGTAATCAAGTCTTTGAGATTTGAAGTGAGGGAGAGTGTGGGGGGTGGGGGGGGTGGAGAGGCCATCATTTGAGACCCTTGATGATCTACAACTGAGTCTTGTTATGATGCTTGGAGATTAGTGAGCTGATCATTTGGCATCCTAGGTACTCTATAGTAAATGGAGAGTGAATTATTTGGAACAGGTGTCATGCCGAAGTCCAGGATGGTGTAGACTATTGATGCTTGGTAGCTTTTACTAGGCTTTAGGACATTTTTGCAAAGCTTGAACTCAGGATCGCTCAAAGCTATTGCTGTAGTTATAGCTTATGTGATATAAATTCAAATAGCAGGCAATTGAGATCATTATTATAAAAAATATGGGGGATAGATTAAAAATGGGTAGGGGGAACCTAGTGGTAGGAAATGAATAGCCCTACAGATGACAATCAACATTGGTGCTTTTCCTACATTCAATAGATAATTATTTGGAATATTCCATTCTGCATATAGGTAGGATCTTGATAATTTTAAATAGAAAAATAAATATAATGGATAATAATGTTTCCATATTATACTTGCTACGTTCAGGCAATTTAAAGCTAAAGCGTAAGATTTTTTTGCTAAATTTAATTTTTGTTGTAATTTGTCTCCGATGACAATTATCAATATTTTAGCAAAAGGTGAGGTTTATTCTTATAGTAGGTGCAATATTCCTGCTGTGTATATTTTTACTGCCAATATGTGGGTCATTGAGAACTGTGCTTAAGGTACTAATCCACCATTACCGTCACTGACCTTTCACCTTTACTAATGTGCCGTTGATGATAACATGGTTTCACTGTGAATAGCAGGTGGGATATCTATAACTTGTCACCATTATATTGTGCCAAAATCTGTGACAATTTCTGACTGTTTATGGATAAATTTGCTATAATTATGTACAGTTAGATTGTGGTAAATGTAAATCATTATTTTTGTTTATATTTATTTAAAATTTAGTTAATATTATGACAGCTCATTAGTAATGTATTTTTGTTTCTTTTTCATCTTAACACTTTCATCAGATTGATTCCAAGATCAATTTCATATCCGGCCAATCGGTTTAGACCATCCCTGATCCTCTCCATACAATTAAGTTCAGTAATGACATATTTCCAAACTGTAAATATAAATCATGTTTGAATGTTAAATATCATGTTTTGTGATTAATGTCTTTGTAAAGTAAGACATTTATTTTGGATGTTTCCAAAATATTTTTTCAAGAAACCAATTATAGGAAAAACCAGAGAGCAGAGGTCTGCATTTTTGCTTGCATGCTTTTTTAGTTTTTCATAGTTTTACTATTGGAAGACTTAGATTTCAAGGGCATTGTATGTTCTTTTTATTTTTTCAAGTATTACTAGGCATAATTGGCAGAATAATAATATTGTTAATAATAAATAAGTTGGACTTAATATAGCAATTAATGACCAGCACTTCGTGTGCTTACACTTAAGTACTTGGTTTCCACAAACTAAGTAATGTGTGTTATACGTGTTTAGATGCAAGCCATACAAAGGAATACAAGACAAAATTATATTATTATTTTCAATTGGATTTAATTTAATGAAATATATTGTACTTAATTAATTTTGCATGCAGTGTCTGGACATGTAGATAGCGGTATTCAGTAGCGAACCTGTAACACACATTTAAAGATAACATCAGGATATGTTCATTAGTACTTTTTTTATTATATGTGTGGATGGATTATAAGTGCTGTATTTTACGTCATTGTGTCACATATATGTGGAAATTGATTTAAAGTATTACTAAGACATTGAGGCATTGTATTAATGTTAAACAGACTTCCATTATAAATTGTTCCTTTGGTTCCAACCTGCTTAAGAGTGCACAAAGAATTTTAATTGCAAAGGTCACTAGTCGCCATGTTTTTTTTGAATAGTTAATTCTTGCAATATCTAAAGTACAACATTTATTAGATATTGGAACTTAAAATACATGTGATGTCTGTGTATTATATTTAGAGTATAAAATGTAAAACTATTAAAAAAAATCCTAGCTCTTACAGTATTTAAACCATCTAACAGTACTGATGTGTTTTAAATATGTAACTTGAATCCAAGCAGGACTTTCCCGCACATATTTTTTATTGCTTTCCTAGGACCTGTGGCCTTGCCCAAGACTAGTTGGCTTACTCCGGACCAGTGATATAGCCATTGAACAAATTGGTATCATAAATTTTATTGTCAGTGTAAAATTAACCGATGTTTTTTATATAACAAATTGAAAATATGTAAATACAATTATTGTATTTTAAAAAATGCATAACTAATACAGATTACAAGACTTAGTCTACAAAATCAAGTTTTTTTTTCAAGTGGTTGCCCATATATAGGCATGATGATGTCATATCACACCCTAATATTGGTATGATGATGTCATATTACACCCAAATATGGGCAATTCATAAAATTTGATAGTGTTTATTGTCAGTGACCATAATTTATTGTCAGTGACCATGATTTATGAATTTAATAGCTGGAGGGTACAAATTCTTGATGAAATATACATCTTTTCTATTTAAAAACAGGATTTTTGCATTCCCATCAGAAGAATATCAAGTTTAATAATAATTATAAGCAAAGCTTACCACTGATACAAGTCAGAATCCCTATACTTTACCAATGAAAGTTTGTATCTGGTGTCTTATATAGTATCTTTGGCTTCAAAAACTAAACTTGATGAACAAGCTGCTTTTTTCACCTTATGCAATTTAATTTGTTATAAGTGGAGTCATACATAAGGAAACAAGATCCCGTAAAAATGTGTAAATATTTGTGTTAGTATAATAGTAAAATTGCATGTGTTCTAAATTTAAAACAAAGCAATAGACTGTATTAAAATGCGTATGGTTACTGTTTAGTACCGGTATATTTCATTAGTGTAGATTTCTTGTTGTACAATAGCCTATAATTGCATGCATGAACAGACAATTTTTATTGAAATAGTTTTAAATCTTTGTTATGTGGTCCTTCAAAACAGCTTTATACCTCATTAGATAAAGTGTTTTACCTGCAAAATGTAACAAACAGTTTACAGAATTATAAGATGGTGCATTTTTGTATAAGAAAAAGTAAGAGCAAATTATGTATACAAATAATCATGCAAATAGAATATAGAACGTAATCAAAACGGTTTTTAAGATGTTCCTCCGGGATAACATCAAGATGTTACTTATGAAAAAAAGTACATACAAATTTGTATCCATTAACTTGTATTCATTCAGTTTGACCAATACTGTACTTAAAATATTTATATAAATTGTGGTCATAATTTATTTAATTTGCTAGCTGCCCATCATCAGTAACACATGACTTATTCTTTGCACCCTTGAAACAAAATGTTATATCTCTGATGTGAGACTGTTGTATAACATCGTATGTTCATGTTATACTGTAACATCTAATGTTAGCTCGTTATACTATATAACATTCAGTAGGCCTATTCTATAATTTCCGACTGTGTTGTTACATTATATAATCTTTTGGTTAAAATATGGTAAACAACCTTGTATTACTTTCCTCCATTAAATTCACTATGTGAGGGTAAATACATATTTGGATAATTATAAAAGGCGAAAAAAAAAAAACCAATATTAACTTTTTAACTAGAATCAGTGGCGGATCCAGGAATTCAAAATAGAGGAATCTTGGGGAGGTACTTTCACAGAGGGAGGATGTATACCACCTCAGCCCCACTATGGTTGGGCTGAAGTAAGAAAATATGTGATTATGTCACCTCTAGAAGGCCGGAAATTGCACTAAGACTTTGAATTTAATTTTCTTTATATCTCTATTTTTAAAAGATTTGAACAATTTAGAGGGTGGGGGGGGGCCAGTCTGGCTGGGCTCCCCTCCCCCCTTTGAATCCGCCACTGAGTTTGTAAGAAAATTTGCTAGAAGAACCAGTGTTTTTATATATTTTGTTAAACAGCAAAATATTTATTTTACCAGAAAGTATTTATCACTGCCCTTACCCATTTTAATTGCTTCCCATTTTTTGGTAATGCTTTGAAGTGGTCTAATTTATGTACCAATTTTGAACCATTTTTGTAGACCAAGAACAGAGATCATTTTGTATCAGGAATATTTTTACAGTAAATATTGATGACCCCAACTTTTTAGAGCAGATTGCCTGCATTTTTAAGTAATTTATTGTATTTTGAATATCTGTGTGTGAAGCCTGTCTGGTCCAGCTTCTGCTGTTTCCTTGTCAAGTATATAGAAAATAAATGTGGCTTAATGTAAACATCAAATTGTCTTTACAGTTCTTTGCTTCAAGGTATTAAGGTAGTCAAACCTGTACAGGTCCAGAGTGCTCATCCCTCTTTTGTAAGCATTGGGGGTGCCAGATTGTGCAAGCTTTGAGGGGATCGCCACTCCTCCTTACAGCGAGTCTGGTTACCTTCCCAGGATATGCTGGTACCCATTTATACTCCTGGGTAGAGAGAGACAAACATTTTTCCCAAGGACACAAGTGATCTGCACAGCGAGAGAACCCTGACCACAAGGTTGAGAGACTGACCCTCAACTGCTGTGCTAAACGCTTCCATTCTTTGATGCAGTTAAAAGTTGCAATACACCAGCATTTGGAGAGACAGAATGTAATGTTTATCTTTTAACTATTACAGCAGTGGTGACGCACTGGGGTGGGGGAATTTCCCCGCCAGACAGGCTTGGACACCCTGTTGTCCGATGCCACGACAAGGTTTTCAGATCAAAAATTGAGAAAAAAATTCACCTGTCCAAATAACGTCCTTTTGATTGTCAATCCATAATATTGTGGTCTAAAAGCACAATTTGGGCCATACGAAGCCATTCCTTTGGGCCATATGAAGCCATTCCTTTGGGCCATACGAAGCCATTCCTTTGGGCCATACAAAGCCATTGTATGGCCTCCTGACCGCGGCTCTAGCTGGCCCCCTGGTGTGGACCCCTATGTTGGACCCCTTGTTGGCAAATTTCTGGAGCCATCGCTGTTTAACAATATTAATTATACATTAGCCTAAGGTTTGTAATAAATCAGGAAGCCCTAACTTTGATGTTTCAAGTGCGCTTCCAAAACCTTCATGCACTGCTCCTATATCACTTTAATATTCCTTAGTTTTAATATTATTTTTTACAGATGATCTGTGTTGGCCAAAAAATACAAGGTGTTTTCCAAGCAGTTGTGTATAAGTATTAACCATGGGTGAGGTGCAATAGAAAATTGAGAGGGTCATCTATTTGCTCAACAAATTTCTGGAGGGGAAGGAATGCACATTTTTTTTAGGGTTGCCCTCACCCTGCCATCAGATGCTCCAGATTCAAAGCTGTACACATTAATCATGTTCTTAAGATAAGCACATTCTTGTATTGTAATGGCCTCGTGCGAAACCTTCCATTGCTTGGCTAATCTGTAAAGACTACTTGCATATTCTAAAAGTAACCAATATGCAAATTTCAGATAATGAATATTAATCATTTATTCTAGAGTGTGTGGCATAAAATATACATACAGTACTGTACAAATACTGTATTTGCTTTGGTTTATATCAAATTATTACACAATCAGTTTTATAAACCTTAAATAGGGGTCTGTAGTCTCCAATGGGAAGCCTATCTAATCTTAAATAAGTTCTCTCTCATTGATGGCCTGCAAGCCACGCCTGCAGGTCGTCATTTGACAACCCCTTATGCTTCATAACCATGTTTATTTGGTACTGCTTTATAATGTTATAGAACCACGTTTTTGGTACTTGATATTTAATACGTTGATCAACTACTCCATGGCGGCTCCAGGATATATTTTCTGGGAGGCTAAGTTTTCCGACAGGGGGACATGAGCTCGTAGGCTCGAGCTGGGGGAAGGGGTGAGAGGGGGTTTCCCCCCTCCTAAATGGTATTTTTTTAAAGAATATCAACCTCTGGATGGCTGAAAATGGCACTCTCAGACTGTGGCAGACATGTGTTGGCTTGGTGTGGGCCTATTTTTATATGTTTTATGGTCTGACCGCCCGACGAGTTCTGTCGGGCGGGGGGGCTTGACCTGTCTAGTGGGGGACTTAAGCCCCCTGCCCCCGCTGGCACCGCCACTGCAACTACTGTGCCTCGGGCTGGATGAAACAACTCATGAGTAGTACTTGTGTTTGGAAGATAAATTAATTAAATTCTGGATGAATTTTATAATCATATTTCCAGGGTTTGACTTTAATTTTGGTTGGCACGTCCTTTACTTGGGAGCTATAGTCGGTGATGTGGAAATGCGGGCCACTCAATGGGACCTTGCGCCATTCAGGATTGCTGTCCAAAGTCTCAAATAACTTGGATGCTGATTTTGCTTCTGTAAACGAAATGAGGACAAGTGATAGACAAGGTTCAAATCTCATTAAAAGTCATCATAATATTGAAGAAATATTAATATAATAATTATAATATTAACAATGCCACTATATTGCAACATTCACAATACAACTTTCACAAAGACAGATAGTGTGCATATAAAATTGTGATGGAATTCAGCGACATTGGTTGAAGCAGGACCTGGTGGACATCCCTACCGTAAAACCTCGAATTGAAGCCTTGGGCTTCTTTTTGAGGCTACTTTTGCAAAGTAAAGATAGGGGCTTGCTTTTCAAAATGAGTGCTGTCAAATTGTGTGAATTTGTACTACTGTATAACATATGGCCACTGTAACATCAGTCTGTATCATGGAGTGTATTTAACTGACATCAAATCACCTAAATTTCTGTATAAACCAAACTTGTTTTTAATTTATTTATTTATTTTTTTAAATTGATGTACAGTGTATATACTGTACTATCTTGAAAAGAAGCCTATGCTCTCTCGAAAAGAAGCCCATGGGCTTCTTTTTGAGATGAGCTTTTTTTCGAGGCTAATTTTGCAAACTAAAGAGGGGGCTTCAATTCGAGATCGGCTTCATCTCGAGATTAAGCCCACTGGGGTTCAATTCGAGGGTTTACAGTATACCAATTATGCACATGCATTTCAGAGCTGTTTAACGTAGTTTATTAGGTCAAAATGATTTACTGCTTGATGTTCCTTTGTGTAAAGCACATTGACGATTTATTATTATTATTAAATACGTACTTACTGTAGTTTTTGCCATTTTTTGTAATGTGTATTTATTTGGAAAGTAAGGATCATTTTTAAGATTTGCATTTCTTTTTCTAATTACATGCAATGCAGAGGCGTATCTTGAAATGGTGGTGGGGGGTGGGGGGTGCAAACATAAAGTGACTCAATGATTAAGTGAGGTGTTGCAAAGCAGGTGATATGAGGTGATGTTGAACAATACCTTTGGCACCAGCAGCCTTGAGATACCTATGTATAGAGGATTGGTATGGTACTTTTACATTATGTTTACTTGATTTTATACAATATCCTTTGTTGCTAGCTGTGTCAATCATGCTTCGCACAGCTTCACGGTCTGTAATATAATAAATTTTAAATAATATTTCAATAATAATAAAAATAATAACTAACAAACCATTTAATAATAATGTATATCAATAAATAATGGTAATTAAAAATATATATTTACTACTATTACCAGTATTATTGTTGTTGTTAGTATATTATTATAATTGTTTATATCTATACACAAACAATTATAATAATAACAATAGTAATAATAATTTCTCAGACTTAAGGGGAATATCTTTTGTGTTACTTTTCCCTTAACTTCATATTATTTTCCCCTTAACATCGTTTTTTTAATTGTTCTTCATTTTCTCCATTGTCTAAGTTCCCTTAAGATAGGTTTTAGTAACATAATAATAATAATAATTATTATTATTATTATATCATTATGGATAGCAATATATGATAGTGTAGACATAATTTCTAATGTAAAAGAGAGCTTGTTTATTGTAAATGTTTATTGCTAAAACTGATATTATTTTTAAATATTTATCAGTATTACTTAAGCTTGTTATGAATTAGTGGCCTAACCTTTCCTCCTTGCAAGCTTCATCCATGCTTCTGCAGCCTGGGCAGCTCTTGGGTCTTGAAACAATTCTTTCATTGCCTACAGGAAGTTGAAAACATAAGTTGCAGATTACCAATCTGTTCCTGTATGTAACAATGACTTTCAGTTTACTTTTTTCAAGCCACATCCACCAGGCCAATATGACTCATCGTCTACTGATTAAGGATAAAATGGTTCGTTCCTAGAAGATATTTTTAAGGGGTCCCAATTGAAAGAAGATACTTCCAGGAGACTTTATTGAAATAGGTTTTCTTAACACATCTACTTTAATTTTACTTTACTCTACATCGTAATACCCACCGGTACTGAGTTCGGAAGAAAATTGATAATTCAGTTGTAGAAACATGAAAATATTGTGAATTTGCAGGAGATAGGTTATTTTCAGGGAGATTCTTAATACTTGCGGAAGTGCAGGGGCCTTCTAAATTTCAGGGAGACTCTCACAAGTTGCAGGGAACCCCTGTGTTTTGTTGCTTGCAATAGTCTGCAAGAGACTGACAATTTCCCGCAGACTCCTGCAATTCAAGGGAGACTCGCTATTTTCAGGTTTAGAAGTTGGCTTTTTTTTTTAAATGAGGAAAACTCCATGGTGTTGACATAACTTGAACCAACCTACAAAGCATTTTAGCAAGTTTACACAAACTACTCCGGTCAAAAATTTGACAGCCCAGTGGAGAGGGGAGATTTATAATTCCGGACGGAAACCTATCGACAATAAGTTATCTCACCTTATCTTCACGATATTGTAACACCCCTGTTGTTGCAGGTCTGCCAATGTATTTCTCTCTCAGCTTTTGTCTTTGCTGCTGCTCCCTTCTGTGGCAAACACCATCAACTTTAATGTAACAAATTTGTGTCATTCTTTTAACTCTGACAATACTCACATCACTCAAAAGATTCATTACCATCGCTATTATTCCATCAAATAAATAATTTACCATTACTACTTTGATTTTTTTTTACTTTAAAATAAATTGTAAAAACACACTCATTTGCAATCTTGAAAATTTGGTTTAATTTAATAAGAATTTAACATAGTTTATGATATAATTTAATTTCTTTGATCTGTACATAATACTTTCAATATGATTGGTTAAATCTCTGCAGTTAGATTGTTTATTTTCTACATAATTGTAGTAAGTCAGATTGTGTACAATTTAGTTTTTAAGATGAAAATTTGAAATATTGAATAACAATGGCTTGTATCACTTCTTTCAGAGTTTGTTTCATACTATCTCCTGTTTCCACTCGGCGAATTTATTCGTGCCAATCAAAAGCGTCATTTATGTGCATTCACATTCACATTTCTGTAGGAGTTTTCACTTCAAGGAAATTGGTAGTCCAAACTGTTTCTACTTTTTGGCAAAACAAAAAAAATGCGCAGCCAATCAGAGCTCAGGAACCAAACCATGGGCCGATCCAGAGATGTCCAAAAGTGGGGGGGGGGGAATTTGGGCCGATCGAGACAACAATATCATTTTTTTCTTTTTTTCTTTTTTTTCTTTTTTGACCTCCCAAAAGGTCGGGGCCGGGGCCGGGCCAGCCCCCCCTAAATCTCCCCCTGCAAACTGACGCCTTTAATTCGCACAAATAAATTCGCCTAGTGGAAAGCAGGTATGTCAAACTTAACAGTGAACCCCATGGTTTATGATTTTAAGTGTTAGTATATTATCATCAATATTTTTATTATTACGAATATCACAAACGTAAATCCTATAGCTCTTGTGATAAATGACACATTGCTTGATTACTAAGGCCGCGATCCCGCTGAACCTGACGGTCGTCACCACGATGTGTGTGCAACCATGGAGGTGGTATAGAATAGATGGTGCAACGGATAATTTTTAATGATGAACCGTTCCGACTGCCACCAACACTCAACAGACAGCGTTGTGTCATATTATATACCGCTAACAGGGAGCGTTGCACAACTGTTAGCTGAAAGGTTATTAATATAAATGAATAACCTTTAACCTTTGTACAATGAACTAGTGACCCAGTAAACTTACTTCTGTATATTTCTGTTTTGACTCTAGAATCAGGATTTTGAAAACCTTCTACTGTGTTTAATTCCTTCCCAAAAGCAGAACCAGGATCATAATAACCAGGAACATCCTTTAAATGGCATGTAAGGAACACACTGTTCACGGAAAAATAAAAATGTGTATTCAAATATAGCCTAATATTCAAATTAGGTTTACTGTATAGAACTGTAAACACAATATAAACAAATAGATAATTAACAACAGTGCTCGGCTCCCAACCACCTTATGATTGAGGCACCCCTCATGAAACAGCCTGTAGTGCAATATATCCAATCCACGTATGCTTCAATATATATAGAATAAGAACAGCCTGTAGTGCAATATATCCAATCCACGTATGCTTCAATATATATAGAATAAGCAGAACAGAAATAACATTCTTCACAAGGTGACTACTTTGAAGCATATATTTTACTTAAATAAAATATATGCTTCAAAGTAGTCACCTTGTGAAGAATGTTATTTCTGTCTGCTTACTTATTTTATACTGTATANCAACTGTAGCGATACTTACTTTGGTGGATGGGGTTTGTTTCTCCTTGTTGGTGATGTAGGTCTTGCCTTGGTTAAACTTTCTGTAGAAACGTGACCTTTGTTATAAAAACTATGCGAATATGTAGTTGGCCTAACGGATGGTTTCTTATCCCATTCTTTAAGTTCTGAGGTCCATGCCATTGCCGCTTCTTGCCTGATCGCATCAAGTTCTTTTGGGCTGGGGGATGGGTATTCCATAACCCGGTGTCGATATCCCGTCATTACAGGATCAGCTGAACGAGATCGATATTTGGATACCACACCCCCTCCCTTCAAGTCACTAAATCCTGGTAAAATATGTCCCGTGGCCATTGAGTAGTATCGCCTTCCTTCTTCTACAAAATGCGATCAGTAAATGTCTACTTCTAACGATTGATACGAAACGATTAAAACTTTCTAAACAACATTGTACACAGATTACCAGCACCCTAGGCAACTGGTAACCTTTGACTTAAGCAAGGGCTCACAATATTCAGGATATTCTATTACCAATTGCAGGTAATTTTATCTCGATGTGCCCTAAAACAGATCGTCATTACAATATAATTTAGTACAAAAATACCAAAAGCCTTTTAATAAATGATTTATATTAGAGATTTTTAATTTGTATATATTATGATAGAAAATAGTTCATGTAGTATAGTTAAGTGTGCAATGTTACTTTCTATAACCTTATACATCCCTACAATATAATAGTAAAATCAGGTACCGGTGATGACAAATCCGGAAGCTGTTCGCGAAAGCAATTCCCAAACATCGATGGCTGCTTGCTGTGTAAACTGAATTCAATATACTTTTACTTTAAGCTTGCTCGTTGTTTATAAAGGTGTTTGTCCTGAAATTATCTTGAAAATAATAATGTATAGGCTATAGTATCAGGTGAATATAAAAGCGACATATGCCTAGCCTAGGTTACTCCCCACCCTACTAGGTAGAGAGGCTATTCTTCCAGGCCAAGTTTAGTCTTCCAGGCCTTTCTTTACTACTGTATATTAGGCCTAGCCTAGCCCTGGCGGTTTTGATCTAGGCGTATTATGCATATTATTTTGTATAACTATAAGAAAACGCTCAGGCTGCCTAGCTAAGCCTTGGCCGCCTAGGCTACTACATACAGCAAGCCTAACTTGAGCAATAGCCAGCAAAACAGCTAGAAATTTATTTATACACCAATCAATACATGACATGGGCTTGCGTAAAGCATTATCAGTTTTACTATTTTTATGTCCAGAACCTCTTTACATTACAACAAGGACCAGCATTGAGCAACCATGACAGCGATCAGGCACACTCTGCAAAGGGATGTGTTCTTGCCTCAGGGGGAGCGTTTAATTGACGTTGTTCATGTTAGCAAAACAGGAAAGAAGAAGAAAAGCAGCTTCCTCTGTGCAGCAAGTAAGTAATGCTTATTGTCAAACATGTTAAAAAATATGGTCATGATGACATCACAACATGACCATATATAGGCCCATTAATTATGACTAAATTATGTCGAAGAAAATTTGATAATGTGGACAGAGGCTTATCCAATTATAGTGTATTAAAACATTGTATGGAGTCGCATATGTATGGATGTAAATAGTTTTGAATGAAGTAGGTCCCAACAGAGGAATTACACATTTTACAGTCCTTAACTTCATTTTCCTCTCTCTCCAATCCCACCCCACCAGGATCAGCATTTTTAACATAACTTTTAATTTTTCATTTCTTTAGTTACAACAGATTCACCAATTTGTGTATCGCTGTACAAAGTGAAGAAAGCTGACAAAGAAAATTTCAGAAAGAGACAATGTTGGCCTCTGGCTGAGTTAAAATTAGTTGATGGAAAAGATGCTGAGAAGGTGAGTAATTCCACGATAACATTATTTTATTGGTTGAGATAGTTCCTTCAAATCCCATCATTTCATAACACAAAGTCTGAACTACAAAGACGAAAATCAAGAAATATCGAAATTACATAAAAGCGGGTGCTCACGGCATCATACAACGGTCGTACGACTGTCGGCCATCGAATCCAACTCTGATTCCTATAAGCGTTAGATGACGCAACGTCGTTTGCTAATTGTTTTGGTAGTATGAATGGATGATTATTGAAAACAATCCACTGCGCGTGCATCGTGGCCTTTTTAATTCTCCATGGAATCACGTTTGACTTTTACCGTGAGGCACAGTGAGTGTACGGCTTAATGCTTGCATCGTGGCCTTTTTAATTCTCCATGGAATCACGTTGGACGTTTACTGTGAGGCACAGTGAGTGCACGGCTTAATGCTTGCATCATGGCCTCTTCTACATGACGACAATCAAAACTAAATTTTATAAGTAAATATTATGCTAAATTTTTATGATAGATTTCAGTATTCACATATTTTTTAATTGACTTCCATTTTGAATATTTATTTTAGGATTTGCCAGATTTTGATCTTCACTTTGAGAAAGTTTACAAATGGATCGCAAGCAATGAAGTGGAAAAAAATAAATTCATCACCACATTGTGGAAGGTATGTAAAATTATTAAAGTTAAACAAAAACGATTTGAAATAATGATCGTAGTATGGAATCTGAGGTGATTCTCATTTCATTTTCATTTATTTTATTGGCACAAATGGCCCAGAGGCTGCATCAGCAACAGAGCGCCATAACATCGCAAGTAGTGCCCACAACCCCTGGAACATGAAACAGGGTACAATAAAATTTACAATTATCAAAATCTGTTCAATCAATTATTAAAGGAAACATAAAAATTTTCAAAAAACATTGAGAATTGATACAATACAGAGAAAATTAATTTCGATAAAGTCTATAATAAAGATTATATTAATATATCCAAAGTAATGACCAATATGCTGTGTATTTATGTCATCAAGTGTTGTAATTTAAATTATAAGGGGAATAATAAAATTGATATGTTAATATTGTTGATAATAGGTAATGGTGGTTGCAACAGTAATAGTAATGTTGGATTGGATTTGATTTATTCGGTGTAAAAACAAAGGATAGCCCACAGAAATCTAGAAGAAAATGTATTTCCAGTGGGGTCCTTCTGGTGGTGATTGGGCAGTACACAGGGAGACAATCCCCTACTCTTTTCCGAAGAGTGTACTGTGATCTTTAACATGCACATGGGCCATAAATGCACACGGGACCAACAGCTTAAACGTCTCATCCGAAAGACGGTGCGCTATTATAACTTGTATCTCAGCCCTCCAGCTGAAATACAAGGAGAGGCAGCGATGGAATTGAACCGAGGACCTAGAGATCTCCATGGTTCAGCGCACACACAGTGGTTACAACCAGACTAGCTGACTGAGAATTTTCTTCTAATCGTGTCCACACACTTGCTAGATAATTTGTTTCAGCCAGAGATGGGCACATTTTCAAGCACAATCATTTTACACTGCCAGGTCCATCAGATGGCATGATGAAAATGATAATATATGTTGATTTGATCATGTGCATGGTGGTGGAATAATTAGCATTATCCAGTGCTGCTATAAAAACGCATCTACCTTTATCCCAATACGAATGTTAATAAAAATGATCATGATGTAAATAATGCCTTAAAGATACTAGATGTCTTTCTATAATCTTCCGATGATGTCATAGCATGCAATTAATTATTAAATATTGTTTTTATTTTTAGTTGAGTAGTCGGTATCAGAAGGATCGCCATAAACCTGAATTATTCATAAATGTGAAACCAGTTCTTCTCGAAGGTAAACATATTTACATTTCAAAATCTGGTGAGGAAAATCTGACACAATCTGTTTCAAAATTACTATCTTTAAATTCAACTCAAAAACTATAAATCTGAATAAAAAAGTACACAATAATTTACATAAACTCTATAGATATATGAATAAATTATAAGTACCTGATTGGATTGTATTGGATTGGATTTATTTGGTGTAAACACCAAGGATAGCCCATGAAAGGTTAGAAGAAGACTTCTTTCCAGTGGGGTCCTTTTGGTGGTGATTGGGCAGTACACCGGGAGACAATCCCCTACTCTTTCTGAAGAGTATACTGCATTCTTTAACGTGCACATGGGCCATAAATGCACACGGGACCAACGGCTTAAATGTCTCATCTGAAAGACGAAGATGAATAATTAATGAAAATGACTGATTATGAAATATTGTTATTGAAATTGATTAATTATTGAAGATAAATAATTAATAGATATTTAACGATAAATTGATATCCATGTTTTGTCAGAATAAGGTGTTAGATACTGTCTATATATTTATTATACCGCATCAATATTAATTTGGTAATAACATTTCATTGCTGTAGTTTTTACTACTTTTCTGTGAGAAATGTACACGGATGCAGGAGAAAAAGTACTACCCTAAATTGACTACACACTTCTGGCCGTCAATCGTATGAAAACTGTAATTATACCATCACAGATCAAAATGGTATCATTTCGGTTAAGTAGTAAATTTTATTTTTCTCAGTGTGGAATCATTGTGACTACCTCACTCCGCTTTGCATCGAGAGGTAGCCACAATCATCCAACACCCCCACTAAGTTGAATCTACTGCTTAATCTCAAACCATGTTGTATTTGTATAATTTGTTTTAATTTTTTAATGGTCAGAAACATTAATGATTGGGGACCAAGCATTGCAAATTGACCTGATGGAATCCGGTGACACAGAAGAAAATGATTACCATGCGTTATCCAAGAAGGAGGAAGAAGATTTGAAGAAGATGATGAATGAGTGTGACTTTGCTATTGGGAATGCAGAAGCTTTTATGGAAAGGCTGTCAAATGACCTGTCTGTCCTTGATGGTGTAAGTCAAAATTATCATGAAGATATTCGAAGGATGTGACATCGACTTCTTTGTTCCTCTTGTTTAAAATTGAAAACTGATTTAATCTGATTGTTATATTTTCCGCAAAATTCATTCTACTTTTTAAAATTTTGTTAGTAGGATAGGATAGTCAGATTTGACTCCTGTGAGTTCTGTTCCAGCGAGCTCTCAATTATGGGAGCTTCAAGGTGCTGGAGAACGGAGTGGTGGAAAGGGTTCCTCTGCGTTTATTTTCTTTTTTTGGTTACTGTTAGGATATTTTATGGAGTCATTCCTTTTGTTTCTTTCAAGTTCTTTTATGTGGAAAGTGCTTAGAAGCATTGTTTTGCATTATGCGCTCTATAAGACTAATATTATTATTATTAATAACGATAATAATTGATATAGCACCACATCTGCAAAATGGAACTGTCCCAATTGTAAAGGATATGGGAATTACCCAGAGATCCTAAATAATACAGGATATTTTTCCTAGCAAAGATATATGGGGCTTACCATGCCAAAACCAGCATAAGTGAACAAAACAAGAAAATAGTCTTACTGTTGCTATAGTTATGTATGGTCATGTGACAGTAGTTACACAGTAACTATGGTAGCATTGCATGGCAACTAGCTGTAGATAATTACAGTTGGTAGCGACATAAGTGCTCTGGGCTGGTTCTATCTCGTTGTTTGCAGTTGCTTGTAATTGCGTGGTTACCAGTGATAGTCGATCTTCTATAGATGCGAGGGTAACATAGCTTAGCTTTTGTCGCCCTTGCAATGTGAATTGTGGACCTTAGAGTTCGAAGGCAAGCTTCCCAACAAGCTTTTTATATTTCAATGTGTTTTTGTGTCAGAAAAATGCTTGTGAAGTTTCTGCTCTACATGATGTGTTATCGTACTGAATACTAAAAAAAAAATCGCAAGAGATTTGGGTAGGCTTCGAACCCATGACCTCCTGGTCCATGACTAGAGTGGTGTCATAACCACTATACCACCAAGCTTGCACCTAGTAGCTAATGTTGAATCCGATTCCCTAGTAGCATTGGTACTGCAATACTTTTTCAATGTGTATTTGCATCAGGAAGATATCATAGAAATGATGTTTTTCTCCTACCTGATGTGTTATCTATCATACTGGGTACTGATTACGTTCCCAAATACCAGCTTTAAGTATGTATTATATTAAGTATGTATTATATTGAGTATGTCCATTCTATTTTGCTTCACAGGATAATATTCATTCAATCATTGAATCACAGCAAGAGGTTGCCAGGCTCATGAATTTGCTTGATGATTCTTTGCGTGTTGTCAACAAACTTGAAACAAAGTTAAATGATTATGATGAAATGCTTGAGGTAGGTTATGTCATGTGAGTTCATGTCTCATAGAAAAAAAAAAAAATAACTACAGTATGTGTGGTCATGTTTCACTACAGTTGATGGAAATGATTTTCATTATGGTGGCGCCCTTTATGCCTTGGCGTATGGGATGGATGGTTTGGCAGTTAACATGTTAAGAATAGTGCTTCCATTTACCACCTTGCAAACAATCAAACAATAATAATAGTAATAATAATAATAAAAATAATAATAATAATAATTTATAATTCCTGTTATTCGCAATCATTATTATTAATTTTTATTATTATTGTTTCTTGCATTTAGGGAGTTCGAGCGCATATGGATGTGATGGAACAGAAGGATTCCTCAATTCAGGTTCAGAACCAGAACCAGCAAAAGCTGTTGACAGAATTGGAAGCTCTTGTTAAGAAGCTTGAGTTGCCACACAGGTATCAAATGACACTGCTGGATGGAGGTCTTTCAAAACCAACAGGAATCAGTGAATGCACTCAGGCAGCTCAGATTCTGCAACAGAAGATGGAAGTCAAGATCCATGATGGTGACTAATTAGTTAAATTTAATTATATGTGCTACAGTTGACAGTGCACCGCAATAGTCCTTCCTGGGTGAAGTGTACAGTACACAAGCAGAAGTTATGCTAACTAGTTAACAGTTCATATGACTGAGAAATGCTGATGATGATGATAATAATAGTGATAATAATGGTGATGGTGATAATGATGGTGGTGATGATGATAATTATGGTGATCATAATGGTGATAATTATGGTGATCATAATGGTGATAATTATGGTGGTGATGGTGATGGTGATGATAATTATGGTGATCATAATGGTGATAATTATGGTGGTGATAATGATAGTGATAATGATGATACTTATGGTGGTGATAATGGTGATAATTATAGTGGTGAGGATGGTGGTGGTGATGATGGTGATGGTGATAATGATGGTGATAGTGATAATGATGGTGATAATGATGATACTTATGGGGGTTATAACGGTGATAATTATGGTGGTGATAATGGTGATAATTATAGTGGTGAGGATGATGGTGGTGGTGATGATGGTGAAGGTGATAATGATGGTGGCGATAATGATGATACTTATGGTGGTTATAACAGTGATAATTATAGTGGTGAGGATGATGGTGGTGATGATGATGGTGATAATGATAATGATGGTGGTGATAATGATGATACTTATGGTGGTGGTGATAATGATGATACTTATGGTTTCAGTGTTTTCACTACAATCTTAACACTGTGTAACTTTCCCCGACGCAAGGGAACTTGCACTAACCCAGCCCCTTGGATATTGTAGCTTAGGTCCCACAAAACAACAGTGTAAAAGCATACACAAAAATGTGTGTTTGTGGGACAAGATGTGTGCTTATTAGACACGCACATATTCCAAGTCCTGTTGTCACTGTTCATTGTTAAGTTTGATTGAACCCCCTGAAAGGTCAGGGGGCAAGGCTGCCTAACTCGATTGACCAACCAATAGCATGTAGCGATTTTATGGATACCTAACTTTACAAATTATTTTCAGGTTTTTGTAAGATGAATGCTGTAATACATCAACAAGAGTTGCTTGGCAACCTACAAGATCGGTTTGCACAACGCCTAGCTACACACCTTAATAACATGTTTATACAACAGGTAAAACATGGGTAGGATGTAAGATTTGGGGATGGGAGGATTGAAAGGGGGTTAGGATTTAAAGCTGGATGCAAAATCGGAAGGGATGATGATGTGTGATTAGAAGAGGTAAAAGTAAATAGAAAAGTGATAGAATGAGATGTTAGTAAGGGGAGAATGTAAGGGGGAAGGGTTATGGTGTAGTAGTTGTTTGTTGTATATTTGAATTGTATTTATACATTTTATTTTCTTATTTTTTCTATACAATTTTTAATTTGGTATTTTCACTGTATGATTTAAAGTGAAAAATTTACTTTAACTTTAAATTTCTACTTGCATACAGCATGTTTATTAAGTGCATATGTTCACAGTTTGTAGCGGCAGTTTAGCGCAGCGGTTGATGTTTGGGCTTTCAATCGTAAGGTCGTGGTTTCGAGTCACCGCTGTGCAGATTCGCTTGTGTCCTTGGGCAAGGCACTTTAGCTACATTGCTTCAGCCCCCCCAGCTGTATCAATGGGTAACAGCAAACTGCTGGAGACTAACCTGCGATGGACTAGTATCCCCTCCAGTGGGAGGACAACTCTCATCTGCTTCACACTACAGAAACTGGGGATAAGCTCCAGCCCTATGTGAGCCCCAGTGGCTTGGAAAGGATTTAGTTAATGTTTACAGTTTAAACTTTTTTGTGCATGTTTTTATTTTATTTAAGGGTAATGAGATGGCAATGAATACATTAGTAATTCATACAAAGAAACAAACTCTACCCAAGCACCATAACAACCATCGTGACCTGGTGCCTTTCTCTGACCTGGTGCAGTGGCTCAAGAGGGCAGACTTCACCAGCTACAAGCAGTTGTCCGTGGTGAGTGTTGGGTTACGTTTCCAAGTGGTATAATTTAACTTTAATAATTATGTTTACTGATAATATTCTTTATTTTAACATTTTAGTCTGTAATCCTTAACTCTTATTTTAATCGTTCCAATTTTTATCAGCTATCCAGCAGTTGTACTGTTATTTCAAGTAATTGCCATGGTAATGGTCTTTTTACTAATTTTAATATAGATATTAAATTTTAAGTGTGTTTTGTATTATTCTTTGTTTTTATGTGAATTGTAGGATTTCATATAATATTGTCAAAGAGAATACAAATTTCCAGTGTGATGTTGGAAAATAAAACTTACCTTAATAATTTTTGAATTTTTTGTGAATATATGTACATTTTTTGAGTTTTGAGTACTGATAATCATAATTTTAATGGTAGTTATGAGGAAGATAGTGATAAAGATAATATTCATTCATCATCATTAAAAAAGGACATAAGTATACTAGAAAAAGTTCAAAGAAGAGCTACAAAATTACTGCCATCTTTGAAAAATATGAGTTATAGTGAGGGATTAATCAAATTGAACCTGTATACCTTGGAACAACGGAGAATTAGAGGAGATCTTATTGAAACTTTTAAAATTGTTTGAAGACGTGGATTGTGGAACATTTTTTATCTTTGTCGAGGATACTAGCAGGAGAGGACATGAATATAAATTATACAAACCAAAACTTAACAAATTTTTGAAATGCAGAATGGAATTCTTCTCACATCGCATAATAAATATCTGGAACAGCTTACCACAAGAGGTTGTTGCTGCCACAACTGTAAACACCTTCAAGAACAGACTGGACAGCTGTAGGGTCTTAAAGGCGTTTGCCTAACTTTTCCCACTTGTATCAAGTATCATCATCATGATCATCATCATGGCTTATCCTTAACATGTGGAGATGACTGGTAACAATTTTCTCCCAAGCCTTCCTTGGCCTTCCTCTACATTTGATCCCCTCAACTTCCATCACCCTAAACTACTTGTAGGGTAATGATAATAATAATTTTTATGTCAACTTAATCTTGTTTCTATAAATGTCATAATTTTTAAATGATACTGATATTTTTTATTTATTTATTTATTTTATCTTTTTATTTATTTATTTATTTATTTATTATATTTTAGTAATTGTTTACAAGGTGTACACAGACAATTTAAAGAAGTTGAATGATATTGATAATATTTTAATAATTACTTACAAGGTGTACACTGACAATTTAAAGAAGTTGAATGATTGATATTATTTTAGTAATTGTTTGGAAGGTTTACACTGACAATCTAACAAAGTTAAATGATATTGATATTACTTAATAATTGTTTACAAGGTGTACACTGACAATTTAAAGAAGTTGAATGATATTAGTATAATTTTAATAATTGTTTACAAGGTGTACACTGACAATTTAAAGAAGTTGTATGAAAAGGAGTTGAAGGATTTCTTTGAATCTGCCAAGCAATCATTAACCATCAAGCCTCCGCCAACTGATGCAAAGAAATTCCAATTTCACCATAAAGATGGCAAAATGGGATCACAGAGCGATTTGACACGTGTTGGAGCACGGTTGAAATCCGCAACTTTAGACGACATGACACGGCATTACAACACTTCTGATGCAGACCTTACTGATAGCCAAAAGTTTGATTCAGTAAGTATTAACCCCTGTCTATCTAATTTTATTAGACAAAAACATGTGACATGCCTAAATATGGTCATGATGATATCACATCATGGCCATATATAGGCACATCATGACTATATATGGGCATGATGACATCACAGGATGACCATACAACAGTTTTTTGCCAAAGAAAATTTGATAGTCTGGACAGAGATTTACAAATTCATTCAATTCAACATCTTACCATTGTTAGTTTTTTTTTTTAATTTAGTGTTTTTTTTCCCTAAATTCTTTACATTATATAGTTAATTTTAACTTTCATTCGTTAATTTTTCAGGTTTTTACACAAATTCTAAATGAATTACAACCTACGTGTGAGGCTGAGCAGGAGTTTTGTTCAAAGTTCTTTGGTTTGGGTCGAGAAGATGGAGTAAGTTCTGAAATGTTTACATTTTTAATTAATATCAAATCATAATAATTATGTTTGTCCAAGGTATAGGTCTCCAAAATTCCAATTTTGGAAGTGTACTGTCTTATACAACAAAGTTTTTTTGAATGATAAGTACTGTGAATTTTAGATCCAGTGTCCACCAACAATTGTGTGTAAAAACCAAGGACATCTTTTGAGAAGAGCAGAGGATAGCCTGGTTTTCTGGTTCAGCTCTTGCTGTGGACTAGATGCTTGCACTGAATAACAGCATCTTACACGATGGGATCTTTTAGGAAGTGGCCATGTTGTAGTGGGTGTGCATCTTGCCCTTCGTGTTCGTGTCTGTACATCAGTTCATTTTCTTTGTACAGTACTGAAGTGGCTTAAAATCACCTTGAGACGGTTTTTATTGTGGAAGGCACTACAAAGCAAAATAAACCACAATGGCAATAACCAAAACGGCATTGAACCAAAACGTCAACGACAAGTACCAAATCAGCAACAGGCCAAAACGGCAATGACAAGTACCAAAGTGGCAGACCAAATGGCAAAGGAGCGAAATCAATGCCAAGACTAGCAAGCGCTAGCGGGCGTGGGCCGCAGTTATAATTTTCTGAATCATTTTGAAATTGTCCCGATAAGCAAATTGAATATTGCCATGGGCTCTTTAATGTTTATTATTATTATTTTTTCACATTTTGTCTGTATTTGAAAGTTTTATTTGTTTAAATGTTTTACTGCTTTTATATTGTTTCCATCCCCCCCCCATCTTTTTAATATTGCATTTGTATGACTATTTTTATTATTATTATTATTATTATTATTATTGATATTATAGCTGCTGCTGCTATTTAGCCTCATTTTTACCGTATTTTATCGTAGCACACTTTCATGCTTATAATTAGTGTATTTTTTCACATATTTACTTTTATGACATAAATTGATTAGCATCGTTTTGGTCTTGCCGTTTTGGTCATTGGTTTTTTGCTGTTTTGGTTTATTGCCGTTGTGGTTTATTGCCGTTTTGTCTAGAAACTGCACAGACACTGAAGTAACATTTTTACTTGTGTTTTTCAGTGAGATATTCTTTCTCCACAGGAGTATGAATGGGTACTTATTCAGTTAGTTGAGATGGTTGTACATGACTATAATTTATCCAATGTCTAGAGGAAATTAATTGCCTATCATTAATGAATACCAGCGACTTCTGTAATGTTATATTATTGTTATTATTGCTTTTTTTTTGTTAATACATGTTTTTTTTTAAATATATTTTTTTTATTATATTTTAGGATGAAGATGCTCCTTCAGAAACTGATGGTGCTATAAATAGTAAATCAAAACGTGCTGAGTAAGATAAAGGCATTATTCTCTTTAAATAGTTTTCTTTTAATAAATCAATTTAGTGAATACTTACCAGTACCTGGATAAACCAACTACTGCATTGCCATGGTTTCTTTAAGTGGAACACCCCTAAAAAATAATAGAACCATCCATGTTAGGTCACTGCAAGTTCATGCTAACCACCATGTGCTTATGCTATACTATTTTCAGTGTTTTTAAATTTACGATGTCTACACCCACATTTTATACTCCTTTGTAGATAAGCTTTTGTTGTTTGTATTTCTGACTATATCACTATATTTGATTAAATTAAAAAATAGATTAAAAAAAATAATAAATCCCTATTTCATTCAATAAAGTTAAATATATAAAGGTGCTTTGATATATATTTTTTTCATATTCACAAGGACAGTAGCTAATAAATGAAATAATAATAATGAATTACATTTGCTTGCTATAGCTCCCTATAATCATGTTCAAATTTATTTCTAATAATATTACATACATTATTTTATTTACAGGGAAAAGAAACAAAATACAGAATTGAGGTAAGTTTGGATATCATTTAAATTTTGTAGAAAGTTGAAAATGTAGTAATGCGAGTCTATTTATTGAACACTTACCTAGATAAACTTTATTGGAACTTACCTTTCGAAAATACCTTAGTAGGATGATTATGCAATGTATTCATTACATTCAGTTCAATTCACTTTTATTTCCACACATTTTTAGCAAATTACAAAATATATATGAACAAAAAACACATAGCACTGTAAACAGTGAAAAAAGTGGACGTTGCAAAAGGCTAAGTCTTTTCAAAACTATTCCCTTTAAATACGATATGAACATTTATAATTTAAGAAAGGAATAATTCAAGTAATAAAGAAATATTAAAGAGAATAAATCAATAAAAATAAATATATTAAAGATTAATAAAATGCACTAGAATATATGATTCCATTTATTATTTATTTATGTGTATTTTATTGTGTTTTTTTCCATAAAATTTGATTTTATTGTGACATGCCCTTCTATTTTCCAGATTGCTTTTACCACTTTATTACTGTATTTAATTTAATAATGTTTTAGGTGAATATTCACCTAAATACTTACAACTATAATTTATGGTTTCATCGATATTATGTCTAGTTACTATTACTACTATCGTCATAATTACTATTCTTATTATTATCAACATAATGTCATTAGATATTAATATTAGTTTTTGCTTCTGATATAAATTTGATACTGCAATCATTCATCCAGTTGAAAAAATTAAAGTACTTAATATATCATTTTTGATGCAATGATTTACTTTATTCCAGTTGTGTTTGGCGATAGTTACAAATTACTTTACTGACATGAAATAATACATTGAGACTGCCACATAACAAACTTAAACCAGTGTTACACATAAATAAGATTGTGCTTAAGACATGACTGTTACTTAAGTATTACAATCAAGCGGCCTCAATCTCATAGTTGAATGCATTGGGGTTTCTTGTGCTGCCCTTTGTAGCTCCATTTACTTCTCAAGCTACCAGCAGCTTAAGATGGTTCTTGTGTATTATCTGCTTAAATTCTTTGCCTTCTTACAGACATTTCAAAAGTTCAAGGTATGGAACACATTGCATGGTTAACAGAATTCTAACTACAAATGAGACCTGCCACCATGAAATGAGAGTAAAGTCGCATGGCGTATATTTGAGTTATGAGGCAAAATACATGGAAACCTCTTATTTGGACAAAATTCTGTTTTCAACCAAAACAGCTTCTAAAAGTATTGATTTTACAACATACCAAATTTTCATTGCGAAAAAATCATCAGATGCAAGAAAATTTAGTGATTTTTGATCGAACTTTACTTGGAATCATACGCTTTGCTAACTTTCAAAGCTTTTTTTTCATTGTTGTATTTTTCCTAGACTTGTAGTATTATGCGATTTCATTTAATCATATCTCTCTTATTTCTGAACGTATTTGAATAATTTAAACACCATTTTGAAGCTGAAATAATGTACAATATGAAAATATATACATCTGATTTTTCATAAAGTTCAACTTTACTCTCATTTCGAGGTGGCAGGTCTGAAATAGATAGGCCTAGTGCAAGCATGGAGTTCCTACTTATACTCCAAAATTCTATAAACGAATCAAATTAACTGAAATTATTTCTTACTACCATTTCTAACTATTTAAACACTTACTGTAAGTCAAGGAAGTTACCATAAGCACAACATCAAATTGTTAATGTTATTGCTTTTGATTTATATTTGAGGTTTTGTCTAATTTCAGCATTATTTTAACCCAATATAATATCAGTTGTTATAAATTGAACTTCCTAATTCTTGAACTTTTCATTAATATTTACCATCTCATCAAATTACCATTTTTTTATGTAAATTTTTTTTTCTACTCTTTAGCATTATAATATGTGTATAAGCAACACTACATACTGTATCATGGAAAACCAATCAAATCTTTGCTTTCATAGCACTGAGCTTCAACCAATAAAATCTTTGTTTTCATAGCTCTGGGCTATCCTTATAGTATAACTGAATAAAGATAATTAATGAATGTTTTTAACTTTCTTCCTTAATGTGCATTAACTTAATATATTTTATTATCATTCTCATGTTTAAAGCATTCATTATATTTGCATATGACTTGCAATAGTAATTATAAATAAAGGAATAATATAGTAACTCAGCACTAGAAGCAAAATAATATAACAGTAATATAATAATCGGTGGCGGATTCAGGAATTGGAAATAGGGGGCCTAGGAAAGGATTTACATAGATGGGGGTCATTACCAACTCAGCCACACCATGGTTAGGGGCTTAATGATTTACATAGATAGGGCCATTACCAACTCAGCCACACCATAATTAGGGCTGAGGTAAGGAAATGGCACTCTCCCACTTAAATATGAATATAATTTTCTTTTTTTATAATTTTCCAA